AAATTATGTTTTTTAGCGTGTTTTTGGGGTTGAACTATACTACCAGTTAAAATACTTGCACTTAATTCTGGGACACCCTGTATATAGTTCATATCAAATAAACTTTTATTCACATGATTAAGCTTGACCGGCACAGCGTTGTCCACTTTTTCATATCTTCTTTTATCGAAATATTTTATACTCAACATAACATACCAACTGTTATTCCATCTCTGTTCGTATTTTTATCCTTCGAACCTGCAGATACCTGATCTAATCTTATTCAGACACCATACGGGTCTTAAAGGATTATGCTCATGCACATCCTTGGAGGATTAAGTCCCTTTTCTTGTCGAGGGTGGAGGAACCCAGGCTGAATGGCTTCTATGCCGTTTATTTTTTTGGTATATCCCGCTGTAGCGACAAAGTCGTGGGCTTTTGTTTCTCCTTCGTCTTCCTCTCGCTCAGACTGTGCTGAAATATTATTAAGGAAATAGGGCGTGAGGAATAATATAAATATAAGGAAATGGTGGAAAGCCGCGGAAATCTTGGATGAAGGCGTGTTTGAAAATGTCTCTTGTGCTTCTTTGGGTTCGTGGAATATTGTTTATTTTTAGACATGCTGTGAAAATATGAAAAGTTCATATTTTAGACAATTTTATTTCTCAGAAAGGTGCTGAAATTTTTTTTTCTTTGACATATAGGTATTTCTGAGTTTTTACTTATTTTCTTTAAACTCTGATTACATCAAACAAAGGCTGTATTCCGTTGCAAAACCAGGCGAACCAGACCGGTAAACTACGGTAAAGAGCGGTTCCTGAAAAATATCGCTTTGATACGGAACGGTTTGGTAAAATATTGGAAACGTCAAATGTTGACGTTTTCTAAATTTCAATACGTCTATTATAAAATTTATCTTTTATGCATTTTTAATGTACCTATTCTCTGCTTTTACGTTTGCTTCTTCTTTTCATTGGAGTTTAATATTGAAATGTACTTTATTAATAAACTGTTAAACTCGTTAGACAGCTCAAGTGAAGATTTGCAGGTCCAATATTAAAACAGATTAATAATAAATAAACAAATCTAATCAATATTTATATTTTTCTAGCTTACAAAACATTCACGATTACTTGTTGTCTTGTTTTTCATGTTTTCTTTAAATGTTTCTAACTTTAAGAAACAATAATGGCTGCATGATAAGTTTAAATGGTCCTAAAAAGTAATTCTATTTAGTTAAAGAAATTAAATACATTTCATTTACCTCCTTTACTGCCTACCTCCATTGCTTTTGGATGTAAATACAAAATAGTATTACAAATTTTAGAAATTAAATGAGAATTTCACTCGAACTTCCGATATTTGCTTGATTTCTGTCACATAAATGACATTGATTGACAAACAAAACCAGTAAAACCAGCCTTCTCGCACTGGTTAGTTTGCTGACAGTTATAACCGATTTTTTCAGGAACCGTGTTCCGTAATAAGAAAACTTTCAGGAAACCGATAGAAACGGAACATAAAACCATAACCAAGGTAAGCAACGGAATACACCCAAAGTCAGATTAGTTACGCCATTTATAACACAAGAACATAGAAATATATTTCTGATATTTTGCTGAGACTTCCTCACTGATTTCTAATTTTCTATTACAAAGCATAGACCGAAAATATCAATAAAAGTAAAAAAACTTCTCTTATACCGAATTTTTCGGTTTTCTAATCAAATATTCTCGGTGATTTTCATTAAAGAGATAGTAATGAATTGAGAAGAGCGCACAAGGGACGTATAAATGGAATAAATTCTTCAATAAAAACGAATGAAACGAGAGCATTAATCAAAATAACTACAAAGAAACCTTATATTGACGATCCGCAGGAAAATGAGAAAAAAGAGCAAAAACGATAATCTGGCTCGGTTCAACAGATAAATCTGTAGTGGTAAAAAATACAAAAAGGACTCTTTTAAACATTCGTCTTTGTTTGATTCCTACACGACAACGCAAATCGATGAGCTTAATAAGGTTAAAAAAATATTAGATTAATTAATCATGAAATTATTAAACTATTTAATATGGAGCGTCAACTTAAGAACAGTTTGAATCGTATACTGTTTGGTTAGTAGCCTGATCTTTTCTGATGTTCTTTTCAAATATGGAATCGTCCAGAAAAAGACCCCACGTTGGGCGCCAAAAACTGTGGCGTTATTTATAAAACGAGAAAAAAAAAATAATAGTGTGAAGTAAAAAATTGAAAATATTCATATACCTAATCTACTTACGAGAGGGATAATTTTGTCCCGGAAGTGCCCGGTGGCGTAGAGGTACAGGCTCTCGTCTACCAATCTGAAGGTGTGGGTTCGATTCCCACACCCGGAATTTCATCAGCCGACTATTTTTATTAAAATAAAAATAGTTTTTGTACCTAGGTCGACTCAGCCTTAAATGAGTACTTGGGATTCACAATCCTGAGGTAATAATAGGCGGTTGAAGCGTAGTGCTAGCCACATTACCTTCCTTGTATACCGAACGAAAAGTATGGAAACCATAAATAAATACATTAAAATTATTTAGTTTAAACTAATAAACGATACGATTTGCTTCAGATAAATATAAACATCATGCCCAAGTCTAAATATTTCTCTACGGATTTAAAAAATAAAATAGTTGAATTATACAAGAGCGGTTATAAACAAATTCAAATAAGTAAAAATTTAAACATTTTAAAAGGCACAGTTTCGAAAATAATTCGTAAATTTAATAAAACAGGGAACGTTTCAACAGCTTTTAAGTCAGGAAGACCAAGAAAGTTGTGCAACAGGACAATGAAAGTAACGAAGAGAATATCAATGGGAGATCCAAGAAAAACATCCACAGACATTTCTCGAGAAATGGGTGAAAGGGGAATATCGGTGTCTGCACGCATGGTGAGAAGAAGGTTGGATGACATGGGACTTTTTGGAAGAGTCGCGGTGAAGAAACCACTAATATCAAAGAAAAATAGGATGGCCCGCTTTAAATTTGCTCAAGATCATCTCACCTGGTCTTATCAGAAATGGAATGTACTGTTTAGCGACGAAAGCAAGTTTCAACTGTTTGGTGGTGACGGGAGACGTTATATCCGAAGACCAAAAGGTACACGGTACAGCCATAAGTACCAGATGCTCACAGTAAAACATGGGGGTGGGAGTATAATGGTGTGGGGGTGTTTTTCTCGCTCAGGTGTTGGTCCTCTCGCTCAGGTTGGATAATGGACCGTTTTTTGTACAAAGACATATTGGATAATAATATGCTGCCTCATGCTGATGAAGAAATGCCACTCAGATGGTTGTTCCAGCAAGACAATGATCCCAAGCACAAATCTCAGTTTGTTCAAAATTGGTTAAATGAACATAATGTTCCACTAATGGATTGGCCCTCACAGTCTCCGGATCTTAACGCCATAGAAAATTTATGGGACCATTTGGATAGGAAAATTCGAAGCCATTCTATTTCAAATAAAAATGAATTATGGGAAGTGCTAAAAACTGAATGGGCGGCCATTTCCAGTAAAGATTGTACGAGATTGATCGATTCGATGCCACGAAGATGTAGAGAAGTAATTAATTCAAAGGGATATTCCACTAAATATTAGTAATTTTTATATTATCTTGAATTTTAATAAACATTCTTCTTAAGTTTCCATACTTCTGACCAAGAAAATATTCATAATTTTTTATATATTTTTTGATAGCTGTAATTTTTTATTTAAATGTATTAGGTTTTGTAGGAAATTATTTGTAGGTCACGATTATATAAGTCGTTTTATTTCATATTTTAATTTCTCAGCATAAATGACAAATTAAAAAAGTTTCCATACTTTTGGCCACCACTGTACCTAATCTACTTACGAGAGGGAGAGACTGCCTCAAACTGACTTAAAAAAGAGTTTATATTGCAGTTCGGTATAATTTTGTCCAGGAATTACTGTATATTTTATGATATTTTTATATTGTTATAGATCTATTATATCTCCTTTTTTGAGTTATAACTCAACATACAGTCTCTATGTATACTGACATTACTCGCTGACGAGTATGTATTTGGCACGCATCAGAAGATGGTTACGCAAGATGTTTACTTTCATGAGCTTTTCTGTGACTGAAAAGCCTGGTACGTGATATTATCTCTCTTCCGCGCTCCGGACATTCAAAAATCTCATTGCTTTGTTGCATCTTTACTTTTTGGTTGCCGCTGTTATCTGAGTTTACAATCCTTCGACATTGCGTTCTATTGTGCGCTACTTCTTCCCACTCATTCTGAATTTTTATCCCCTTTAAATTTTCGTGGAAAATGTCCTTGTACCTTTTCAGTTGTCCACCCTGTTTCCTCTTCCCATCTGCAAGCTCACCGTAAAGCAGATGTTTTGGTAGGCGGTTTTCTTGCATACGTGACCAGCCCATACAGTCTCAGGACTTTGACAAAAGCCAGTATCTGAGACGGTTTAACCGAGGTTAGTTTTCCATCTCCACTCTCAGTTATATCAAAGTTTATGACACAAATAGTTGTCATCTCGACACACTCAGAAACTAAGTGTTGAAGATGTTAAATCTAGGATTTTTTTTATTTCCTCAGTCGTTCTGAGAAAATGCTTCGTGTGTTTTAGGGCTTTATTTTCTTTGCCTAATTTGTTCAAATTCCCTAGAAATTCTTTGAAAAACATAATAAACAATTAAATAAGACTACATAAAATAGATACGTACATATTTTAAATTCTGTATCTGTTTGTTTTACTAAAAAATCCTAAAACATTGACCTCAAATTAATTATTATTAAACAACGAAAACAATACGCGTACTTCATTTTTCTCAAAAATTACTCTTTACAAGTCTCTTTCTCTCGGTCAAAACCTTTCTTGTTTATTATTCGTTTCCTCGCGACAAAAGAATCCGCACCACTTAAAAGCAGCGACCTTTCTTAACAAAAGTAAAACGAATCTAAATTCTAAATTAAAGTTAAAGCAGAGTAAAAACGACATCTTACCTTTCCGCTTCCGCTTCTGTTGGTGCAAATTAATTTCACAGCAATCTGAAACAGAAACAACATTAATTTGGAACTGCGTCGACGTCACAGGCGATAAGTAGAAAACGAATTTTTAATTCGTTTTTGTCAAAACTCCTGCGAAACTACCACTAGTGCGGCGCGATGCATAATTCTAGACAGTGATGGATGTTAGCAAGCAGTGAATTTTGGCTAGACGGGCTCAGGTAACTAGTTTGCGAAAGACAAAGAACAACAGGGAAATCGTCAAGTTGGTTGTACATTATTAATGTTTTAATTAAAATGTAAAGCCGCCGTGTTACATCAAATGATAACGGAATTGTTGCAGTAAAATCATTTATTTCTATTAAATCTGCGTCTTGCTTAGTTAAAAGTGCAATCGAATGCCAAAATCACTAAATAGTATTCAAAAAAATATATTTTGAACATGAAAGAGATACAACCTAACCACAGCAAGCTCATTTTGTCCTTTAACAGCGCTGGAAAGGTAAAAATTGATATTGTTACTTAGGATTTGCGGCTTTTATTGCGATTCTGATGTGCCTTCCAAATTTAAGATCGTCAAAAGAGAGAAATAAGGAGAGAAAGAAATATAGCCTCACGTTGGGCGCCAAAAGATTGTAGCGTTATTTTTAAAATGAAAAAATTAAAGTAAAGAAAGGCAAAACATAAGTATCAAATTTACCTTTATTTTAATCGTAGAAACTAAAAATGTAATAATATACAGGGTGTTCCATTTAAAAAAATACAACTTAGATATTTCTTACTTATTTGGGACACTCTGTATCATGTAAAATTATTTTTAAATTGTACCTCTAATAGTCCTTCATCGAACCCAAAACTTACAATTTGTAAAGATCTCATCGTTTAGCTATAATACTCCGTGTCGTATGTGGTGAACAACCCTGTATACTTATAATTAATTTATTTTTGTTTCCTAAAATATTTTGATTAAAAGAAAACATGTAAAAGTAGGCAACCTCTCTTTTAGAGAGATGAACTATATGTGTATAGATGTATGGATTATGTGAATACAATGGCCCGAAAAAGGAATGCTAAACTACGACAGCGAAATGCATAATTTCGCAATGATGGATGTTGCAATTTATTTCGGCTAGACGGCAGCAGTGCAGAGCGCCGCATACCGTTCGAGCAGGTAACCAGCTATCGCGAGACAAAGCAGCGCCAGAACTCGACTGTACATTATTAATATTTTAATTAAAAGTAAACAAGCCAGTAGCGCTCCTAAGGTCTTTCGAATATAGATGGAGCTACCTGCTGCATGTTGCTTATTAAAAATTTCAAGCTTTTGATAAGTAATGGCCGTTAAGTTGGAGTTTGGCAAAAATGTACAAAATATCTATTTTTGGATTTATTTAATGGCAAAGTTTAAATGTCATTGCAAAATGTCATGTCTGTTACAGTAGAATTTTAAGAAAAAAAATGATATAAAATTACTCATATTTCTGATGAACGAAATTCTTCTGATCTACGGAACAAAGCAGAATCGGACTTATGCTGATATAAAAAATAAATCTTATTTTTACGTGAGAAATCTACCATCGAAAGATGGTAAATGATTCTTGAAACACCCTGTATATTCTGTTTTTAAATATATAATTATTTAAAATGATACACATCTAATAGTTATTTTTTTATACAAGACGATAAAATCGTATTTTATCGTCTTGTATAAAACAATATATTTTCCATAGCGAGTTACGTTTTAAAAAATATTCAAAAATTATTATTTCAAGGAATTTATTACGAGTAGAAAAAATATTGTGCTGGGTTGGCGTTGGTTTCTATGTAATTTGACAAATAAATAAAGCTGTCTCTTTAGTTGTCAGTTTTGAGTCAATATTTTCAATTCCCTTTCGTGTCGATTGCTAATTGAATTGGAGCCAGAAATGGCTCAAAACGAAATAAGTAAATTACCAACAGATATTTAGGCTGAGGCGACAAACGCCATATCTAAACTACTTCTATTTAAATCCCGAATAACTTATGAAAAGAAATACAAAAATTTTCAAAAATGGAAGCAATTAAAAAACGTGCGAGAAGAAATAAAATTTTTAACCTATCCTCGGTGTTAAAGTATCGTTTAATCTTCCCTTGCCGTTAAAGTACTATTTTATCTACTATTTTTGATAGATATAAGGCAATTTAAACAGTTGCTATGGGAAAACCAAATGAAAACTCATTAATTAAAAAAATCACGATCGCAGAAATCCGTAACGCGTATTTTATATTTTTAATTAACTTCTCACAGTCAATAAATTCAAAATTAAATAAACTAAATTACGAATATCGATAAAATAAAACCTTAAATAAAATTTCCAACGTGGCGGTATTTAAAAAACTGCTTCACAAATAGATTTATAATTGAATAGCTGTTTTTTTAACGTCATTTATAATATTCCCAAATGGTGTTTGTTAATACCAAACAAAATTCTCGGGGTAGAGTTATTAAAATAAAATGACGTATGCAAAAAGCAAAGTATTTGGTTGCAGTATGAACGTAGTTAAATTATTTATTTTTCAAAATTATTGATGGATTTATAATAATATATAAAACCTTAGTAAGTGAATTTATTAAAAAAACGCATATATGGTTTTTCTCTCGTGTTTTTTAATAAATATTTTTGATGGAAATCATAATGATACTATAATAAACGTTATTATTATTTGCTTCATCCACGTTACCGTAGATGGAGCTAAGAAGGCTTAGGTAGGGTAAATATAAATAAACAAAAATGTTTGTCCAGTAGGCCGCTGGTTTTAATTTTGGCGGTACGATCTGTGATTGTCACAGCTGCCGCTAGATGGCGTAGAGCGTCTAGCACTCTCACCATAGTAGTACGTTTTGTACTCAAATGCTATTATCTGCTTTTCGTTGGTCAGATCGAGGGTTACAGCAGAGTCGGCCTGACGATGGAGAAAAATCTCCGAAACCGATCGTCGAATGGCTGTTCCCTTCGGTCTGATGAACTTAATGCAGAGAATAAGCATATATGTAGGGTTTTTAGGTCCCTTTTTCCGCTACTGGTATTTTGTTTATTTATATATACCCTACCTAAGCCTTCTTAGCTCCATCTTACGGTAACGTGGATGAAGCAAGCATGTTTGTCCAGTAGGCCGCTGGTTTTAATTTTGGCGGTACGATCTGTGATTGTCACAGCTGCCGCTAGATGGCGTAGAGCGTCTAGCACTCTCACCATAGTAGCACAAAATAGAAATCAACCAGAACGCCGACTCTGCCGAATTTGATGACGTTTCACGAATCGCGACGCCATATTAGCAGCGGGTAACTCTCAAAGCCGGATTAAAACGCTTTCGCAGGCTGTTGTCAGAGTTATATTGAATAAGTATTTTTATTATCTGATATGTGATTACAGACTGAGCGTAATACGTTATTTCGAAAGGTAAAGTTTGTATAGATAACTCAATGGACTCGACGCTACGAACAGCTGCTGTCTTCTGCGATAGTCAGAATTCAACTAAATCCTGACCTGCCCTGATTAAACAGATAACGCCGCTACATTGACAGATGTTACCCTCACATAATGGAATTTTTAGGTTAGCCACCGTTTCGCGCGCATTTTGGGAGTCAACCTTCTGGTTGATTTCTATTTTGTGATAGTAGTACGTTTTGAACAAGTGCTATTATCTGCTTTTCGTTGGTCAGATCGAGGGTTACAGCAGAGTCGGCCTGACGATGTAGAAAAATCTCCGAAACCGGTCGTCAAATGGCTGTTCCCTTCGGTCTGATCATTGCCTGGAAACTTATATGGTGAAATTTTGATAAAATAATTTAGTACTCACTAAAAACACAGTATGTCGCTAGTGGTAGGAAACATAATTTTTAGAGGTTACTAGTTTATTTGATTGCCTGTAATATGCATATACAGGGTGTTTCCTAATTAATCTAAAAAATAAAAAATCGTTAGAAAACGGCTTAAGGCGGGCTCTTAATAAGTATATTTATTTTCTTCTCGGCAACCGTTTGATGAACAAGAAAAACTCAAAAGATCAATTTTGTTGAAAAAGGATGGCCAGTCAAGAAAAAAATATATTTTCTTTAAAAAAGCAGTAGTGTACCATTTATTTTAAGGAAAATATCGATTTTTTTTAATTTTTAACACCCTGTAGATCAGAAAGGAAGTACTTTAGACCTAATGGTTATATAAAAATTGTTATAAGAACACATGAGGAATCACACCACAATTTTTTAGACTAATTAGAAAACACCCTGTATATTGTCAACTTGACAATGATTGTTGATAAATCAAAAAATACCTTTTCTGTGAAAAAAGCCCGATTTTACAGAAAAAATTTTGGTTTTTACTGAATTTGGGCCTGCGTCTGCAAATACCGGTATGTTTTTTAATATTCTATCTCTCTAAATTTTAAATATTATAGTCACAAATAGTTTTATTATTTATTAACTGTAAAAATGATATACTTATAAGTTTTATCAAATATTGTGATTTACTTTCTACCTTGTAGTCAAAATTTATATTTAATAAACTGTAAAATATATATATTCTTATGTTTTATTAAAGTTACTCTGATATACTAATATATCAGTGTAACTTTAAAACTAAATCCTTTGAAATCAAATGTAAACATAAAAAATATTTACAGCAGAAAAGGCGCAGGCGCTGGGTTAAACGTAGTCTCTACTAAGAACACGGAGGGGCGCTTTGACCCAAAATTTTACTATTAAGTTTCATATCTATCTTAATAGAAGATTATTTTCTTTTATCTATGGGTCTGATGAACTTAATGCAGAGAATAAGCATATATGTAGGGTTTTTTGGCCCCTTTTTCCGCTACTCGTATTTTGTTTAGTTATTATTATTATTTAAACTGTTCTTGTTACAGTTGGCCAAAAATTTACTTCTTCAACATTGTTTAACAATCTTAGGTGTTATACTACAGTAAACTATACAGGGTGAGTCTTAAATAAGTGCAATTCGGGGATCTGTAGCTCCTAGAATAAAAAACTTGGAAATTTTGTTTAA